TGTAGTGTGTGTGTGGGGCGGGGGGAATTTAATCAGGGGCATAACTAGGTTTGCCAACTTTTCCAGCCGCCCCCATTTGGGGGCCTTGGAAGCCCAGGCAGGAAAACACCAGCCCCTGGGGACTTTGGTGAGGGAGGAGGGACTGATGTTGCCCTTTCTCGTGGTTTTGCTCTGGGAGGGGAGAGATGATTTATGGATTTGAAATTGGCAGTTGCTTTCTGTACATGGATTTGTATTTCTTTCCCTGGTCAGCGCTCCGTGCATCTGCTCCTTGTCGGCTGGCTGTGGTGGGATTAATCGGTTCGTTTTAGCAGAGGAAGGTCTGATTAGGTAGGTGCTTTAAATTGTCCAGCAGCAGCTTGGCTGCTGTGCAGCAGAGCTCCCACGCCCAGCTGAACAAAACCCACTGCACCTTAATCTGAGAGCAAGCATCTGATAGAGCCCCCAGCCTGGGACTTCTGAGGCTTAGTACATGAGCCTCTACTGCTTGAGCTAGAAGCCAGCTGGCTTGCAGCTAAGGCAGAGCAAATTCATTCATTCATTCTGTCTGTCACTCGCTTACCTAAGTGCCGCTAGATGGGACAGCGAACCACACCCAGCAGGTGTGTGAGTTACACCTCCACTTACAGGCTGTGTCTACACTGGCCACTTATTCCGGAAAATCAGCTGCTTTTCTGAAATAACTTGCCAGCTGTCTACACTGGCCTCTTGAATTTCCGGAAAAGCACTGACGATCTACTGTAAGAAATCAGCCGCTTTTCCGGAAATACTATGCTGCTCCTGTTCGGGCAAAAGTCCTTTTTCCAGAAAACTGTTCTGGAAAAGGGCCAGTGTAGACAGCACAGTAGTGTTTTCCGCAAAAAAGCCCTGATTGCGAAAATGACAATCGGGGCTTTTTTGCGGAAAAGCGCATCTACATTGGCACGGACGCTTTTCCAGAAAAAGTGCTTTTCCGGAAAAGCATCTTGCCAATGTAGATGCGCTTTTTCCGGAAATACTTATGACAGGAAACTGTTCCGTTTTAAGCATTTCCGGAAAATCATGCCAGTGTAGACGTAGCCACTGGGAATAGTTCCAGTCCTGAGCCTGCTCCTGCAATCCCTTACTGATGGGAGGAGTGTTTGCTGTGGTTTTGGGCCTTGCAAAGGAGCACCTTTGGGTGAGTGGCTGTAAGGAAAGATCCCCCTGGGCTCAGGCTCACCCCTCATTACCCACAGAGCTCTTGTTGCTAATCAGAAGGGGTGACCCCGGCAGGTTGCATGCATCTTTTTCCCCACCCCCCCCCCACCAC